AAAGAAAAACAAATTATTGAGAGCAATGCAACAGGTATAAGGCTAGGGCAATTTAAAGTTTACAAATTCCTAATTCCTACTCTAATGTGACAAGTTTTGTAGTATTCACATTACCAATATTCAATATATTACATTAAAACCGACAACATGCAGTCATGATTTGAATTTCAAGCTAATATTAACCTTTTCTTGTACTTTCTTCTCTCAGGAGTTGTCGTTCAACTAACTATTGTAAGGAAAAGCATGAGACATCTATAGGGAATTAATATGATTGACGCCTAGGAAATATGAAGTTTTATTTCTCTGTCACGTGTCACAATGATGATCATTAATGAAGTATAATAAAGTAATTTAATCCACTATATTTAACTTTATTTTACGAGATTTTAGGTTATTTTGATGATTGAAATAATTTTATAACAGATTTTCACAGATAAAACCGGTGCCAAGCAGCGCGCTTATAATCCCCACAATGGCCTATTTACGTCTCAATATTTTTTTTTTTAAAAAGCTGTTTTCAAAACATAACACGAATCGTTAAAAAATAAACACAAGAGATGTTTCCTTACTTGCAGTATTCTTAAAATTAATCATCAGTTAAAAATGATAACATAGCTCTTTTTGAACTTGGAAATCATATTTAGGCCAGAAATTATACAAAGTGAACAAGTCTTCTAGTCTAAAATACATTTTTTTTTTGGTCAGGGAAAATATTACAATTGATTGTTGACATGATTACATGATGAGATTATGATCAAATTTATTTCACAGAATAGCTCATATGTAGAAATCTGTGCAGTTTATTCATGAAATTGCGTTTTGCTTCTCATTAATATTTATGAGATCCTGTATAAACTCGATATTCCATTTCTTTAAATTTTGATATTGAAACCTGACAGCCCGGTTCATTTCCCATTTTCTTTTAGCCTTGGTTATAGTTTATGGGTAAAATTTTATGCTATTGACAGTTGACTACTGAAGATTCCGGGGTTTAAAACAATAAGTAAGTCCAACTGATGAAAGAAATTAGTCGTAACTATTCAGAAAATGATAAATCATTTGTATTTTATATGTATTATGAAACGCTTCCTTGTGCACCTACTATAATCGGCATGATTGTATTTCATCATCAAACATACTAAAAACACAAATTCTGTGCTTTTTTCTTCAATAAAGCAAAATCATTTAGCTTCGAATTTTCAAATCAAAAAGGAAGTCGAAACTTTCACTTTGATAGCTTGTCATTTCCGGTAGAAGATATTAAGAAAAATTAAACCACCGGCATATAAAATGCAAATTCTGTATTTTTTTTTTTATTAACCTTTATTGCATTATAGCTCCAATATGCAAAAAAGAGAATTGTATTGATAATTCAGATGATGAGAATTTAACAAAAGTGTACAAAAATAATGAGCATTATTAGTAATGCCACATGATCATTAATTTATAAATGAATTGTACATGATTTCTCCCATCATAAGTCCTGATAAGCAAACTCATCTTGTGCTTCAAAGTCAGCTACATACACCCTCGAAGATAGGTTTGGGACACAGTATAGGGTAAAAAATTTCATTGGAATAAAAGAAGGGAAAAATCGTTTTAAAATCCTCTTACGAAGAGATCGACACAGGCAAGCAACAAACGACCACGAATCCCTTATGTTTTTAATACCTTGAAAACCTTTCATAATTCAAAATTCGACAGTACCATTAATGAATTACAACCAGAAGTCTCTGATGAAACTGTAGCTCTACTAGTCTGTACGTATAACAAAGGAAAAGTAGCACTTGGATTTGAAACTTTGCAGCATACAGCAATAAATAGAATTATGTATCTTAATGTAGCCTACTTGTGTGCCAAGTTATACTGAAATCAAACAAAAACTGTAGGAGGATTAGCATTTTGAAAGTATTTCACAGAAATTTCTATTTAAGTAACCATAGCAACACCATTCACTGAAATCAAAAACCGATATACACTATTATATAACGTAGTATAGTCTAATTGTGTGCCAATTAGATTGAAATCAGACGGAAACTGGAAGAGGAGTAGCGTTTAATTACAGAAAATTCTATATTTAGTAACCATGACAACACCGTTCATCGAAATCAAAAACTAAATTATGTATCTTAGTGCAGTCTACTTGTGTGCCAAGTTATAATGAAATCAGACTAAATCTGTGGGAGGAATAGCGTTTATAGAAATTTCACAGAAATTTCTATTTTTAGTAACCATGGCAACACCGTTCATCGAAATCAAAAACCGGTGCACTAAATTATGTATCTTAATGTAGTCTACTTGTGTGCCAAGTTATATTGACCAAAACGTAGGAGGAGTAGCGTTTTAAAGGCATTTTACACAAATTTCTATCTTTAGTAACCATGACAACACCGTTCATCGAAATCAAAAATTGATGCACCAAATTATGTATCTTAGTGCAGTCTACTTGTGTGCCAAGGTATATTGAAATCAGACCAAATCTGTTGGAATAGTAGCGTTTTAAAGGAATTTTACAGAAATTTCTATTTTTAGTAACCATGGTTACACCGTTCATTAAAATCAAAAAATGATGCACTAAATTATGTATCTTAGTGTAGTCTACTCGTGTGCCAAGTTATATTGAAATCAGACCAAAACTGTCGGAGGAGTAGCGTCTCTGACCAGTAGAGCTAAAAACAAATATTTCTTTTTGTTGTATTCTTTAGTTTACGACCTTGAATGAGTACTTGCAGTACTTTGATTATATTCATTAATGTTAGCGATCGAGATCGGTATTTCGGTTTGTATACACAAAGCCGAAGCAGATAATCAGAGTGAGTTTAACTTCGGGTCTTTGTTTCATGTTGTTGTACATTGGGCAGGTAAATTCCATTGATTTTTTGTAAAAAATATTTTCCTAAAAAAGAATAACACTGTTATGAATAAATATGGTGCTGAAAAAGTAGTTTGTTCGTAAAGATACCCCCACCCCACCCCAGCTCACACCTTTTTTGAGTTTTACAGGTTGGGCACACCCCACCAAATGGTCATTTATCCCCCGTTTGGTGGACAATCTCCCATATCGGAGACGAATTTTACTGACCAAATGGTGGACTTCTTTATTCTATTCCAAATTTTATTAAAATAAAGCAAAAGCGCATTTACTTAGGCATTGGGGAATTTTAGTGAACATATTCGTCGCACAATTAACATAGTTCGGTCGATTTCCCATGTGCAATTTCTCCATAACTTCCTAAAAACGATACCCATAGTTGTCCGTAACATCCGAACTTCTTGATCACTCGATCAAAAAAAAAATGATTGTGTCTATAGTAGGATAAAAATTCTATTTCATCCAGTGGTTGAACTCTTGATAAGTTAAGTTTCAATCGCTTTTTGGATCTTCGTCAATATTTATTTCCATAAAATCCCGTTAAACACGAGCTCCCCATTACTTTACTGGTACGTTGGGCACTTATTGCTATAAAGTTAAATTTTTCTATACTTGAACGTAATATTTGTTATTTCCCGTTGGCCTCCATATTTTATGTAAACCTTCATTAGTCATCTAATAGTAGCAGGAAATATTGAAGGTAAAAAAAAGGCCTTGTTTCAAGGTTCTGCTAAACTGTTGTATTGTACTCACATTTTTTGTCTTAATTGTAGAAAAGAAACTGACCTCTACATATAAACAAGAAAAAGAGCAGCAGAAAATAATGAAGGTAAAACAATTTCTGGGCCCCGAATCAATATGGTTATGTCTTTTGTTATCACTGTATCCATGTGTCTGTCTTAACAACATACATTCAAACTTTCTGACAAAATCAAGTCTCAGAAAGAGCAGTTTTCTTTTTAATTGCAGATTAATGAAATATGGGGTCATTATTTGGATAAATATTAATCTCCACTACACTATAGCCAACATCTAATCTGAAACATTGAAAAATTACATAAAAATTTTCTATTACAAAATGTGAATACCTTTTTATAAGCAGAGTTCAACATGATTTCTCCATTCTCCATACAATGATAAAGATGATAAAATTTTCACTGACCAAGTTGCATAAACTGTGCAAGTTTGTTATAATCGTTCTCCATTAATTGGTGGTAATAATTGTTGAATGTATATTTTAATGATATATAAATTGGTGTTAAAAGGAGATCAACAAATAATTTATGCTCAGGGTTTAAATGTTCAAAGAGAAAAGTTTATCTTTTAGGTTTGATGATTCTAGACCAAATAATTTTCCAGTTTTGCGTCTTAGAAGGTTCTTAGCTCACCTCAACAAAGTTGGGGGGAGGGGGGGGGGGCTTATGTAATACTCTACCTCATCAACGTCCGTGTGGGCATCGGCATCAAAGGTTAAAGTTTTTAGAGCAGATTTCTTTTCAAGTACTTCTATGCCCTTTATTGAACAGAGATGCATGGACAATGCTTCTAGTATGTTTCATTGTACAAGTCGAGGTTTTAAATGCTGTGATTTCAGCTAAAGAGTGACAAGGTTAATATTTATTGAGCAGGTTAAAGTTTTTGGAGCAGTTCAGTTAAAATGTTTAAAGCAGGTCTCATTTCCAAGTAATTATAAGCCCTATATTGACAAAACTTGCATGGATGGTCCATCTAAGAATTCATACTAGCAATTTGCATATACTTTGCGTTGAATTTTGCATATACTTTGCATTGAATTTTGCATATACTTTGCATTGAATTTTTTTTCTCTCAATTTTACAGGAGGAACAAACAATTCATTCATCTTATCCACACATTGAAAGTGATGCTAAAATCTTCTCAAATTTTACTGTCAGCGACGAACATTCAGGAAATGTAGTAATTAATAACAGTACCCATTCACTTAACAAGAGTAATGAATGTGCTATATGTGGAAAAATATTTACATGTTCAGATCACTTACAGAGACACTTGAGAATACACACTGATAAAAAACCTTATGAATGTGGTGTATGTGGAAAGGTGTTGAAGAGATTAAGTATCTTGCAAGAACATCTGAGGATTCACACAGGTGATAAACCCTTCAAATGTGATGTGTGTGGAAAGGCATTTTGCCAGTCAAGTAGTTTACACACACATATGAGGACACATACAGGTGATAAACCCTACAAATGCAATGTGTGTGAGAAAACGTTCAGACAGTCTGGAGGTCTACAGAGTCACATGAGAATACACACTGGTGATAAACCTCATAAATGTGATGTGTGTGGGAAGGCTTTCAGCCGATCAAGTACCTTACAGGCACATATTAGGATACATACAGGTGATAAACCTTATGAATGTGATGTGTGTGGGAAGGCTTTCAGTCATTCATTTTCCTTAAAGATACATATTAGGATACATTCTCGTGATGAGCCTTTTGAATGTGATGTGTGTACAAAATCATTCTCTGGATTATGTGCCTTACAGACCCATACTATGACACATACTGGAGATAAATCTTATAAAATTGAACATGGAAAAGAATTTTCTGACTTACATAAACATATGAGGTCACATATAGGTGACAAACCTTATAAATGTGATGTGTGTGAGAAGACATTCAAACAGTCATCAGTTTTACAGAGACACTTGAGAAGACATACAGGTGATAAACCTTATAAATGTGATGTGTGTTTAAAGGCTTTTACTACATCGTCCAACTTACAGAACCACATGAGGACACATACAGGTGAAAAACCTTATAAATGTGATTTTTGTGGGAAGGCTTTCGCTATATTTTGTAACTTACGAAATCACAAAATTATACATACTGGTGATAAACCTTTTAAATGCGAGATGTGTGGGAAGGCATTCAATCGAGCAGGTAACTTAAAGACACATATGAAGACGCACACCTGCAATAAACCTTATAAATGTGATATGTGTACAAAGTCATTCACTGAGTCCTGTTTCTTACAGTTACACATGTTCAGTCATATTGGTGATAAACCGTATGAATGTGATGTGTGAAGTCATTTTCTGGAAAAAAGCCTCACAGACACACATGAGGACACGTACAGGTTTTAAATCAGATAAATGTGATATATGTGGAAAGGCATTTTATTGATTAAGGAGTTTACAAAAACGTACAAAGACACATACAGAAATGTGCGAAAAGACATTTTCTATATTATCTTCATAAATATATTTTCAAGAAAAACACAACTTACATTTATGATGTGTATCTAAAGACTCGTAGTGTAAAGGTATGGTTAAAGAATGCATAAAGATGGAAAACCTAAGTAATAATTGTAATGTACGTGTGAAATCAAAGATTTAGATGATTTTCGTCATGAACATTTGCATCATATAAAACATACTTTGTTTCAGATAGGTCAGAGGTTAACAGATCAAATACAATGCTTAAATACACCCACTAACTTAACAAAAAAAAACAAAAAAAAAAAACCAGATGCATGTTTATAAAAATCTTGAAAAGTTGATATTGTTAGGATGGTGTGTCATGAAATCGGGCAATTTTACAAAATATGCTATCATACTAACTACATATATGTAGAAAGTCTCCTATTTACGAGAATTATCTTCAGTAAGCGTAAAATGCAGCATGTTTTTAGATAAACATTAATTTTGTTCTGAAAAGCAGATTTAATGTACATGGTCATCTTCATCCATGCATGAATTTTAATGCTGAAAATACATTTTTGTATAATTTTTTTTCTCATTATGTAAAATAAATCAGACTTTAATTTGCAACCTATATATGTATTTGGTTTGTGTTTAATGTTTACAGTGGTATATTTATTTTTGAATTATATATTTTTCTTTACAATTTGCTGTCATTTATTTTGCTGCTGTGATTTTCATATCATTTGATTGGATACAAATAAATCTATCAAAAAATAAAAGGACCTTTTTTTAATTTTGAAATTTAATACTGTCAACTCTTTGTAGGCAGAAATTTATAAAAAATTCTGCTTTTTACAGAGGAACAACTTACTGTCAAAATTGGAAACGAGAACATTAATCATTTAAGTATTAACTTTATACATATCCTGTAAAACTTTATCTTCTTGTATTGAAGTGCAGCATTTGATTTGATTTGAACATATTTTATTGTTTAGATGTTACAACAAAAGGATCGGAAACAAGTTCTTAAAACTTAAAACGCCCTCTCCTTATTTAACAAAAGTGCAGCATTTGACCCGTAAACAGTTGACTACACATTTTCCAAATATTCTATAGTTAGCTAATTCTTTCCATAGTAAATTAAAGTGGGAAAGCTTTTTTGATAGTTAATGCTAACTAATAAATCAAAATACGAGGACAGTTCTGGAATCACTCAATCATTCACTTTAACTTAATAATGAGAGTAATTCATTGATATTTACCAACATTTTTCAAAAACAAATAATACTAATGTACAAAATTTTCGGTTTTTAGCAACGCCAGGTAAGTCCCAGTGACATTATTTATGAACTTGCATATGCCCATTGACCTGGTGCAGTCTGCAGAAAGAACTACGCACGCTAACTCTCGATTCCCGCCTACATTTTACACCCATCTATTCAATATAAATGGCATTTTGGCCATCAAAACTTGTTTGAATGCAAAGAAAGGTTCATTAGTAGTTGATTAATAATTTTGAAACCTGTTAATCGCTCTTTTTTACACCGCTTTTTCATAAGGGAGGTAGAAAATTTTATCCATAGAAATCGGACTTAAAAACATCACCAGATATTTTAATATGCATGAAAATAGATAAATGACCCTTAAATCTTTCCGTCTGTTTAACTTATGTAAAATCCAACAAATGATATGATAAAGTACTTTTTTTTTCATTTGTAACTTTATTTGAAATTGGTAATAAAATGACCTTCTCTTCTGTTTCTTTTTTTTAATTTAATTTTTTTTTAATTTTTGTCTGTAAACATGTGCCCCCCCCCCCCCCCCCCCCCCCCACCACCACCACCACCCACAGTGAAACAACAAAAGCTTTGGTATAAATTTGTAAAATAACAATTCATAACACCTGTAAAAAGAATGTTTTGGTTTCACGTGGGGGGGGGGGGGGGGGGGGGGGGGAGGTTTGAAAAATATTTCCCGTTTTCCGTTGATTTCTAACTTGAAAAACGCAATTTTAACTAAAATTATACAGTTATCTCTCTTTGTTTTACGAAATAAGTTGTGTTTTATGAAAATTCACATTTATATCTATATGAATATGAAAAATCATTCAAATATGCTAACTTTTGAAAATTGACAGAGGTATGTGGCAGAATAATACTATAGTTAGCAGTTCTTATAACTTCATTTCAGCCTTGGGTTTTTTCCGAACTCTTTTTTTCTGCCATCACGTCTTGACATTTTTATACTAGAAAGCAATGGAAATCTTTTTTCTTAAACTTTTCGTCAAAAAGATAAATGTCATTGCCACTCCAGTCTTAAACTGCCTTGAAATGTAATTTAAAATTTGTCTAGCATCAAAATTTACCAATTGACATAGCACGTTGACATTATTTAATCCGTAATCATGGTAATAATTGATGGTCTTCTGCCTCCTTTGTCCTTTTTAAACTGCATCAACACTTACTATTGCGTGCATTTTTGTCGTTAGCTAAATCCCACACAGAAAAAATATAAACAATTCACTGATCACAATGCACTTGTCAATGTGACGTCATTTCGTAAAATTTAACGCAGTTTGTATGCAATGAAAGGCGGATCAAGTTATATTTGATACAATGAAAACTGTATTTTGTTATTAAATAAAGTATAAGTTGCAGATATATAAGAGGCCATTAACTTGGATGCGATGTCTATTTGATGATTTTATTCATATACTTTCCCTACATTCGCAGGACAAGTGATACTTCGTATATTTAATGCAGATTCATTGAATGATAATAGAAGGGCTTACGCATAAACTCAAGAAGTAGGAAGATATTTGAAAAGTGCTGCGAACCTGATGAAATATTGCAAATGAATTAATTAGATCTTTATGTTATGTACGCGACCAGAAAATATTCAACATGCGATCTAACAAACGTAATTTTAGCAATTAATAGCCATTCTCTGTAACCACTTAAACTTTTGTGGCACGCATAGTCACAGATTTTTTTTTCAAATTTGGCTAGAATTTATCACCTCATAAACTACTTGAAAAAATATTGTTAGATCATATGAATGTTGAGTAGTTACCATGGAAACGGTGTCTAAAGTTGATTTTTTCTGAAAAAATGCAATTTTTGGGAATGTTATTCAATGAAATGCGGCTACTTCAATTCATGTTACTCACAGAAATAAAAAGTATGACATCTGATTTTAAAAGTCATTTAAAAACATTGTTGGTATTCAGTCTATAAATATGAGAAATCTATGATTAAAATAGCAGATATTCATTTAAAAATTGAATTATCTCCCTTTGATAAATGTGAGCTCTTTAGTGTGAGAGATAAAAATATCATTGGACAAAACTGACTGGAAGTTGTTTACATTTTCAACATATATCCTGGATTTCAAGTAAAATCAAGTGGTTTTTTTTCTGTTTATTTTAATGTGCATACAAAGAACAAGGTACGGTTTCAATACAAATCTTGCCCTGTGTTTTTCTTAAAAATAATAGAGATGTAAAGAATTAAAACTCATGCTTTTTGAATTATTGAAATTCCATGCAGAAAGATCATACAAATCTTTTTTCTCACATGACCTTCCAAATGCTAATTGTGACGTCATAAACTTGTGCATTTTCCCGTATTTTCTTAAAAAGTTGCAGAAGACATCAATTTTCAATGGAATTTTCTTTCAGATAATATTGTCCACAGGCATCGCCCACAAAGATTTTGAGATATATGATTTTTCAAAGAATTTTACACAACATATCTAAAAATTAACGTGGGCGACGGCTGTGGACACTATTTTCTTAAGGAAAATAATCCTTGAAATGGGACATTTTGAGGCTTTTTCTGTTTAAAATAGAGAAATGCATCAAATTAATGACGTCATATATCCAGAATGGTACTCCATCATGCTATATTCTTTCCTGATTTATTACAGTCATATACTCAACTAATATTTAAGCCAGTTTCAAAACTTTTTGAAAACATTAAATTTTTAGGGCACAATAAAGCTAAAACCATACCTTCTTCTTTTAACCTCTTTTTTTATTTCCTGGATGCAAAAGAGTAATTTTTATGTGTGAACAATGGGGAAATGTACAAGCCCACATGGTACAAGAAATCAGCTCTGTGCACATTCATGATATTGAAGCCTAAGTCTCAAGGTCTTAGGAGTTTCAAAATGGGGATAAAAGATAAACTTAAGATATCAGAATTATATTGAATTGGTTGTAAGAAGAGGTACAGTGTCTCAGAGTACATGATATATTACAATGAATAACAGCCAGGAAAGCTAGTGTTTCTTTTAATTTAAAAAAGAATGTGGAAAAAAACAAAGCTGAATTATAATGTTAGAAAAGTAGGCTTTTGATTTTACCTAAATAATTAAAGTCTAGCTACATTTACATGATTGTACAATACTGGAAGTTGAAAGTTAGATAAAGAAATAGGCTTGGCAACAACAAAGTACAGGTGTATCAAGTTTATATTGAATGATGTGATGTAATTTGATAATGTTGCTGAAGCAAGAATTTTCTTTAAGGGAAAGGTCTCTACCCAATAAAAAATTAAAAATAAAAAAAAATTGTTAAGGTCAATAATAAAAATGTTTTGT